AAAACTTTTTGTACAACAAACCAGTGTGTTTATGATTATGATAATAAATGTAAATAATTATAAGTCTTTATGGGTGAGGCACTGAATCTTTCATTTAACCCATTCTTTCAAAAACTCAGATTCATACGAGTGAGTCACTGAATAATTGACGTAACCAGTTTGCTGATTCATTCATGAGAATACCATTGAATAAATACAAGTCCTATATCTGTAATATTGCTTTCTCCAGTGAAAAAGTTGTCTCGTCTGATTTAGGAGAGAAATCTGCACAGATCAAGCACCGTTTACAAGCCAAAACAGTTCTGAACAAATATATGGGTGGATTTTGATGTGAGAGAGACTTTTTCACTGGAGGAAGCATTATTATGGATTATTTTGTCCAGAAACGACGGGTAAAAGTTAAAAACGTCTTAATAATAGATTTGTTTCTTACAAACATGCAGCTTTTGGCTTCTCCAGATGTTAACTGATGGACTGGAGTGCTGTGGATTATTGTGATTTTTTTATCAGCTGTTTGGACTCTCATTCTGACGGCACCCATTGACTGCAGAGCATCCATTGCTGAGACACTGATGCAATGCTACTTTTCTCCAAATCTGATGCAGAAACAAACCCATCTACATCTCAGATGACCCGAGGATGAGTATTTTCAGCCAATTTAAAATTTTGAGTGAACTAATCTGTAATTATCAAATGTAAAAATATTTTCAGTCTTTTTGGAAGTTGCATTTAAAAAGATCTAAAAGGGCACTTGCTCCCTCAGTTTGAATGGGCATGACACCCCTGGCAATACTAACAGTGATGCATGCTTTAGCAAACACCTCTAATAAAAGGCAGGTTTTGGCTTGCAATCTATAATCAGACTCTTGGACATATGTATGGAGAGAAGAGGGGCAGTTTGGTGTGGAGGAGGGATGCAGGAAGAATTGTCAGGAGTGTGGCAGGTAGTTATTTTTAGATCCCTTTTCTTGCGATAGAACATACTGCCTCCAAACTATCATTAAGAGATACATTTGCCACAAACTATGGCAAACTTAAACAGATAGTTGTCAGGTTGGCTGACTCAGACTAGCATGCATGAGCTTTAAGGTTTGACATGGCATGCATTTGTATCACAAAAATGTGAGTAGGATGCAATGTAACTAATGCCTTCTTTCCTGTTGAGTCACACCAACCTTTTGTAAATGGTTACGCTTCAGTACATGCATGCACCTTTCCCACATACCGATTTGTCACACTTTTAGAGCAAACGTGTCCTAATGTGTTGTATGCAGTGACGCCAGTCATGTGAACTTGAAAGAATTTAGTTATATCCCCTGCCATTTAACTGAAATGAATGCAGATATATTAGTGGATTAGATTGAAAAAGCATGCTTTGAAATGCTCACAAAAGCATTTGGATGCACCTGCTCGCTCATAGTATAATACACTGTGAATATAAACCAGAAACACTTGAATTCAAAACATATATCCTAGACAGTGGCAGTGATAGGATGAGGACTTACAGTTAGAGAGCAGAACTGCTGATTATGATGAATTGTTATTTTAAACTGCATGCTGTGAATGATCGTATTTTAACTCTAGCCACTGTAGTTTTTAACTTTAAAGATGCCATGTGGGCGCAATGAATTAAAATTGCAGTGAAATGCTGTGAAATGGTATGAGGCATCGTCTCTCGTTTAAAGATAGAGTATTCGAGAGCAGGTGTTTGTCTCGCACATCATTTTTTGACACGCACACATTTTGACTGACAGTTAAATGCCAGAAATAGACGTCTCGCTAATCACAGACTGCAAACAGTGAGTGCTTCTGGAGGAGTGCAAGATTTATCTCCGAAAACCGTAATCAGCCACTTCATTCAGAGAAATGCTTGCTTGGCACAAAACAGCTTTAGTCTTGTCTGATTTGGGGAGCTAATCTTCTTTTGTCAGCTGTTTTATTAGTAAAAACATCACGATTAATGAATTGTCTTCACTTTGTGGTATAAATGAAATGGGTTTAAAAGCATAAAGCAAAAGGGGGTATTTAGTGGGAATTATTTGCCTGGCAGTGGGGACTGAATAGTACATTTCACCATAATTTGACAACAGCAGGTTGTCATATTGTACCTCAACATCAAAAGAAAAAAATTTAAATTTTCATTAGAAAAATGTATTGTGACATTTGCGAGACAAATAAGTAAATTTTCCCAGCCAATGCTTATTATTGTAATGCAAAACAAAACAAAAAAAATCATTTTTTTCAAAAGATTTTTTTCAAAAGATTTTTTTCAAGATTTTTTTTCAAAAAATATTGCATTAATAGGAATCTAATGTTGTTAATTGTGCATAATTGCTATTAAAATAATTTCCCAAATAAAAAAATCTCATTACTGTAATGTGGAAAAAATATTATTTTTATTATATATATATATATATATATATATATATATATATATATATATATACTGTATATATATATATATATGTACTTAATTCATAACACTTTACAATACGGTTCCATTAGTTAACATTGGTTAATAATAAGTTAAGTAACATTAACTGATAATGAGCAATACATGGAATCTAATGTTGTTAATTGTGCATAATTGCTATTAAAATAATTTCCCAAATAAAAAAATCTCATTACTGTAATGTGGAAAAAATATTATTTTTATGATATATATATATATATATATATATGTACTTAATTCATAACACTTTACAATACGGTTCCATTAGTTAACATTGGTTAATAATACGTTAACTAACATTAACTGATAATGAGCAATACATTTGTTACAGTATTTATTCATCTTTGTCGAGTTATTAAAAATACAGCTGTTTATTGTTAATTCATATCAGCTCATGTCCATTAAAGAATATTAACAGATACAACTTTTGATTTTAAAAATGTATTAGTAAATGTTGGAATTACCATTAATTAAGATTAATAAATATTTTAGAAGTATTTTTGTTGTTGTTAGATTATGTTAACTAATGTGGTTAACTAATGTTAACAAATGGAACCTTATTGTAAAGGGTTACCCTTAATGGTTATATTAAAAAAAATAATAATAATGTCACAATTCAGAAAATCATATGCACATGACCTGTGCATATTTTTGTGCAATTCACCCCTGACTTCCTTGCTTGCCAAAACATTAAATGCAACTTCATGTACCTTCACAGCTATTTTACGAGAACATGGGAGCTCCACCCTGAAGTTATGTTTTTAATTGCTCCTCTGTTGTGCGTCAGGCTTGTGTGTGAGGTGTGACCGTGCTGCTGAAGAGCCGTCAGTAAGTAAAGAGCCACCCGACCCAGTTGTGCGTGTAGAGCAGCATACCTGACGCTCACATTGTGACTGCAGGATTCTTCAGCTGCTTGCTCTTCACTGACAGCTGACGTCGAGACATGCCAGAAGATACAAACTCATCTAGTTTTATTGTATAAGCATGACACAAAATTGACATTTTAAGCAGGGGTGCATAGTTAAAAACCTGGAGATCAGGTTTATATATATATATAGTGTGTGTGTGTTTTTTTCCCCATAGCTGTATATATATACAGTATATACACATATATATTTTTCTCTTAAAATGATACATTTTCTCAGTTTAAACATTTGATATGTCATCTATGTTGTATTCTGAATAAAATATTGAAATTTGAAACTTCCACATCATTGCATTCTGTTTTTATTCACAATTTGTACAGTGTCCCAACTTTTTTGGAATCGGGTTTGTATATGTGTGTGTATATAGGCCTATATGCAAAAAATTAAGAGACCACTTGAAAATTTTCCGTTTTTATTTGCAATTTACAGCTATGTTTTTGAGTAAAACGTAATTTTCGTTTTATTCTGTAAACTACTGATGACATGTCTTCCAAATTTTAAATGAAAATGTTTAGTCATTTAGAGCATGAAATGACAATTGGTCAAAATAACAAATATGTTTATATTCCTTTTTAGACAACACAATACCAATGTTTTAATAAAGAAGAGTCAAGAAATCAATATGTGGTGGAATTACCCTGATTTTCAATCACAAACAATGAAAACATTTGTTATTTTGACCAATTGTCACTCTCACACACACACACACACACACACACACACACACACACACACACACACACAAACACATCTATAATACACATACTGTATATATGCTCATTTGATGAGTGTCCTGGATTTCTTTTTGTTTTACCAAGTAAGCAGTGCTGGGCAGTCGCGGATTACATATAATCTGGATTACATAATCCGATTCCAAAAATTAAGTACTTTGGCTATATTACTAAAATTATATTTATAAATGATAAATATATTTTAAAATAGTCAAAATCAGACTGCAGATACTTTTTTTTATTGATTACATGATTACATATTATTCACACAATAAAAATAAAAATAAATTGTCCATAATTTACTAATTCTCCTTAATTTCATCTTTTAAATTTTCATTTCTGATATAGCCTAACGCTTATGTACGTTCAGAAAGTCTTCCAGTTTTGTTGACATTCACGCAATAAGTTTTCATTTTGATTGTTGTTATTAAAATAGATCATTTTAGAATCTTACATGTCTATGATATAATTATTAGCGTTTCATTCAATTCACGAACCCCCTGCAGTTCCTTCACAAACCCCAGTTTGGGAAACCTTGACGTAATGTAATGTTTAAAGCACTTCATGTTGTTACTTTCTATTTTTATATCAATTTGGTACAAGATTATCGTATTTAAATCAATGTCATAAATGAGTTAGGTCAAAAGTAATCTGAAAATAATCAAAAAGTAGTCTGATTACATTACCTAAAATGTAATGTAATGGATTACGTTACAAGTTACAATTTTTGTCATGTAATTTGGAATCAGTAATGGACTACAATTTGTAAGTAATTTACCCAGCTCTGCTAGCAATCATTCAAAAGTGTGTCTGTGCATTTATATGTACACCGAAACCCCACAATGCATCAAAAGAGGACCGCATGAGGCATTAATTCTGGTCTCCTCACAGGAAGCAGATGTGTTTCATGGAGAGGAGATGGAAAGATGTCCGCGTGGGGGATTTTGTGAGAGTGCTCTCTAACGAGATCATCCCAGCTGACATCCTGCTCCTGCACACATCCGACCCTGATGGAGTGTGTCACATGGAAACAGCCAATCTGGACGGAGAGACCAGCCTCAAACAGAGGAAGGTGGTGCCAGGCTTTTCTGCTCTGGTAAGAGCGCAGTCTATCACACAATACCTGCGCTAAAGTCTAATCTTACACTGGACACGTGAGGACACACACTGATATATTCATGAATGTCATTGATAAAGTATTAAATCGAGTGAAATATGCATACCATTATGATATAATATTCACAGAACTATATAATGTTAACAAAAACTGGGAGTGCACTGGGAGTGTCGGATATAGCTAAAAGAAGTTTCAAGAATCAGATAATATTAATAAAAACAGTAGTTATTGAGGGAGAAAAACATCTAATGTTATGTATTTTCTAAGAATTTTAATTGAGTTATATTATTTAGAAATAGTTCATTTGCAAATTAAAAACGTGTTGTTAATATTCAAAATGAAGAGAAAAAGTATTGTGGAGAAAAACCACGAATGTGACTCTGGACTACAAAACCAGTCATAAGGGTCAATTTTTTTTTTAAGATTTGCATCTGAAAGCTACACACACACACACACACACACACACACACACACACACACACACACACACACACACACACACACACACACACACACACACACAAACACATCTATAATACACATACTGTATATATGCTCATTTGATGAGTGTCCTGGATTTCTTTTTGTTTTACCAAGTAAGCAGTGCTGGGCAGTCGCGGATTACATATAATCTGGATTACATAATCCGATTCCAAAAATTAAGTACTTTGGCTATATTACTAAAATTATATTTATAAATGATAAATATATTTTAAAATAGTCAAAATCAGACTGCAGATACTTTTTTTTATTGATTACATGATTACATATTATTCACACAATAAAAATAAAAATAAATTGTCCATAATTTACTAATTCTCCTTAATTTCATCTTTTAAATTTTCATTTCTGATATAGCCTAACGCTTATGTACGTTCAGAAAGTCTTCCAGTTTTGTTGACATTCACGCAATAAGTTTTCATTTTGATTGTTGTTATTAAAATAGATCATTTTAGAATCTTACATGTCTATGATATAATTATTAGCGTTTCATTCAATTCACGAACCCCCTGCAGTTCCTTCACAAACCCCAGTTTGGGAAACCTTGACGTAATGTAATGTTTAAAGCACTTCATGTTGTTACTTTCTATTTTTATATCAATTTGGTACAAGATTATCGTATTTAAATCAATGTCATAAATGAGTTAGGTCAAAAGTAATCTGAAAATAATCAAAAAGTAGTCTGATTACATTACCTAAAATGTAATGTAATGGATTACGTTACAAGTTACAATTTTTGTCATGTAATTTGGAATCAGTAATGGACTACAATTTGTAAGTAATTTACCCAGCTCTGCTAGCAATCATTCAAAAGTGTGTCTGTGCATTTATATGTACACCGAAACCCCACAATGCATCAAAAGAGGACCGCATGAGGCATTAATTCTGGTCTCCTCACAGGAAGCAGATGTGTTTCATGGAGAGGAGATGGAAAGATGTCCGCGTGGGGGATTTTGTGAGAGTGCTCTCTAACGAGATCATCCCAGCTGACATCCTGCTCCTGCACACATCCGACCCTGATGGAGTGTGTCACATGGAAACAGCCAATCTGGACGGAGAGACCAGCCTCAAACAGAGGAAGGTGGTGCCAGGCTTTTCTGCTCTGGTAAGAGCGCAGTCTATCACACAATACCTGTGATAGTATACGTGAGGACACACACTGATATATTCATGAATGTCATTGATAAAGTATTAAATCGAGTGAAATATGCATACCATTATGATAAGATATTCACAGAACTATATAATGTTAACAAAAACTGGGAGTGCACTGGGAGTGTCGGATATAGCTAAAAGAAGTTTCAAGAATCAGATAATATTAATAAAAACAGTAGTTATTGAGGGAGAAAAACATCTAATGTTATGTATTTTCTAAGAATTTTAATTGAGTTATATTATTTAGAAATAGTTCATTTGCAAATTAAAAACGTGTTGTTAATATTCAAAATGAAGAGAAAAAGTATTGTGGAGAAAAACCACGAATGTGACTCTGGACTTCAAAACCAGTCATAAGGGTCAAATTTTTTTTTAAGATTTGATATAGCTAAAAGAAGTTTCAAGAATCAGATAATATTAATAAAAACAGTAGTTATTGAGGGAGAAAAACATCTAATGTTATGTATTTTCTAAGAATTTTAATTGAGTTATATTATTTAGAAATAGTTCATTTGCAAATTAAAAACGTGTTGTTAATATTCAAAATGAAGAGAAAAAGTATTGTGGAGAAAAACCACGAATGTGACTCTGGACTACAAAACCAGTCATAAGGGTCAATTTTTTTTTTAAGATTTGCATCTGAAAGCTGAATAAATAGCTCTCCATTGATGTGTGGTTTGTTAGGAGAGGACAATATCTGGCTGAGATACAACTATTTGAAAATCTGGAATCTGAGGGTGCAAAAAAATCTAAATATTGAGAAAATCATCTTTAAAGTTGTTCAGATGAAGTTCTTAGCAATGCATATTACTAATCAAACATTAAGTTTTGATATATTTACAGTAGGAAATGTACAAAATATCTTCATGGAACATGATCTTTACTTAATATCCTAATGATTTTTGGCATAAAAGAAAAATCGATAATTTTGACCCATACAATGTATTGTTGGCTATTGCTACAAATATACCCCAGCGACTTAACACTGCTCTTGTGCTGCAGGGTCACATATAAGATCTTCTCAAATGTTTCTTCTCAAAATGATCCCAATAATCTAAAAAATATCTCACGTTGTGCTACGGATATCAAATATTTGCCAAGATTAAAGTAATCAATCAAAAATCATTTTTAAGAGAAGTGTTTGTGTGGAAATCAAAAGAGATTTCAATACGAACTTGATTTCGGTTGAATTTTCCAAAGACCAAATTCTCAGTTATATATCAACATTAATTATATGTGTAATCTTACAGTATGTCAAAACATGAAGTCTCTTGAGCTATGAATGAGTATCTTCTGAGCAATAATGTTTTTCTTCTATCAATGCTGGAACATTAAATTATGAAAAATAGTTTATGTATAGTTTAAGTTTACTGTGTGTGACATATCTGCCTCTGTCAAAAAATTATATATTGAATAATTTGTTTAATATGCACTACCAAATGTTTAGGGTCAGTGCGATTTTTATTTAATTTTTTTATATTTTTGAAAGCCTCTTATGTTCACCGAGGCTGCATTTATTTGATCAAAAATACAGTAAAAACACTCATTCAGAAACATTTCTGATTATTATCAATGTTGAGAACAGTTGTGCTGTTTGATATTTTTGGCCAAAACCGTGATTTTTCATAATTCTTTGATGCAAGAAAGTTCAAAAGAACAGCGTTTATTTGAAATAGAACTATTTTGTAACATTATAAATGTATTTACTGACACTTACGATCAGTTGAATGAATCCTGTATAGAGTAACGTTGAAAAAAGATATTAATAAAAATAATTACTGAGCAGTATAGTGTATATAATTTGTTTTTATGTATTTATTTATTTTTTAAATCACCACCTTTTAATGTTGTCATACCTTCATTTTTGACAGATGTTTGTTTATACAGCTCTACTGATTCACAGAGTTCATAAAGCATAACTCTTTGATTGTGTAACAGATACCTAACAACTCCCAAACAATTGCATACCTGTCATACAATTCTGAGTGACACACAAAGCACGTACAGGACAGACTTGTTGATGTTTTTGCTGCGCATGTGTTGGCGACTGCTCAGTTTGCCACGTGTAGTTTCACTGTCAACAGCAGTACTTGCTAGACAATGCTCCTTAGTCCATTCAAATTACCATAGAATTTGAAAAATGAGGATACAGAAGGAGGAAAAAACATCCTCTCATGTTTTTCTCTTTCAGGGTGAACCACTTCAACCTCAAACATTTGACAGTTCTGTAGTGTGTGAAAACCCCAACAACAACCTCAACCTGTTCAAAGGTTATGTGTGAGTATCTAAAATCAATTTCACTCAAATCATTCAATTTCATGCACAATTAACTGCATCACGACTCCATCATCATGACTGCCTCTTTTGTCAGATCCGCACCAATGAACAGCATTTGTTTGGCCTTCACATTTTGTCATTCGCTAACCAGGCAAACTGCTTAAACCCTCTGTTGCGTCGCAAAGGAAAACATGTTAATGCTTCTTCTTTACTTAAAAACTAGTATATAACTATTACCAGTTTTCTCGTGAGAGGAACAATCTGTCCACTGCAACAGAAAGTAATGGTAAATATTTCAGAGGTTGATGCATGAGCACTTTCAACAGCCATGTTGAGTTTATATTGTTATAAATAATACAAAAACACATATAAAGAGGACATTCATCTGATATAATGGGTAAGGCTCAAAGGTCATGGATGTAACATCTTCCTGAATGGTACAAATGGGTTTGAGTAGAGGACCAGCATCAGGGTTAAAGGAAATAGTTCACCAAAAAAAAAAAGAAAATCTGCTGATAATGTATCGGATCCTCTGCAGTGAATGGGTGCCGTCAGAATGAGAGTCCAAACAGCTGATAAAAACATCACAATAATCCACACCACTCCAGTCCATCAGTTTACATCATGGGAAGTAAAAAGTTGTGTTTGTAAGAAACAAATCCGAAGACAGTTCGCCCAAAAATCAAAATTATTCTTTGATTCGTTTACTCATGTCGTTCCAAACCTGTATGAGTATTTTTCTTCTGTTGAACACACACACACACACACACACAAAAGATATTTTGAAGAATGTTGGTAACCAAACTGTTGCTGGTAGCCATTGACTTCCATAGTATGAAAAAAAAAATACAAAGAATGGAAGTCAATGGTAGTCATGAGGGTGAGTAAATGATGCCAAAATTTAAATTTTTGGGTGAACTATCCCTTTAAGACTGTATATATGCAAATGTATACATTATATTTTATTTTACAACATACAATAGATTTAGAAATTATTCTATTTATAAAATTATTTAAATTATTCTTTTATTACATTTTTCTATTGACAAATCAGTAATATATAACAAAAATATATTGCCCTACACCAACCCTACCCCTAAACCTACCCCTCACAGGAAAATTTCTGCATTTTTAGATTTTCAAAAAAACTCATTCTGAATTATTTATAAGCCTTTTGAATTACGGGGACACTGAAAATGTCCTCATAAATCACCTTCTCGTTGTAATACCTATGTTATACCCATGTTATTATACAAATTTGTGTCCTCATAAACCACATAAACATGCACACACACACACACAAAAATATATATTTTAAAGAATGTTGGTAACTAAATAGTTGCTGGTACCCATTGACTTAATATGGAAAAAAATACCGTGGAAGTCAATGGCTACCATCAACTCTTTGGTTACAAACATTCTTCAAAACATCTTCTTTTGTGTTCAACAAAAGAAAGAAACTCATACAGGTTTGGAAAAACTTAAATGATGACAGCATTTTCATTTTTGGGTGAACTACCGTTTAACTTAAAACCGTTACTAAAATATGAGTCCATTAACCTTAATAAAACTTGCATTCGTGAAAAGGTGGTCTGGTCTGAATCAGGAGAGAAATCTGCACAGATCAAGCACCGTTTACAAGCCAAAACAGCTCTAAACAAATATGTGGCTGGATTTTGATGTGAGAGACAACAGGAGATGGACTTTTTCGCTGGAGGAAGCGTTATTATGGATTATGGACACATATTTTGGCCAGGAGCAACTTTTTAAAGTTAAAAACATCTTAATGATGGATGTTGTTTCAGCTTTTGTCTTCTCCAGATATTAACTGATGGACTGGAGTGGTGTGGATTATTGTGATGTTTTTATCAGCTGTTTGGACTCTCATTCTGACGGCACCCATTCACTGCAGAGCATCCATTGCTGAGACACTGATGCAATGCTACATTTCTCCAAACCTGATGAAGAAGCAAACTCACCTACATCTCAGATGGCCTGAGGGTGAATAAATATTCAGCACATTTTCATTTGTGGATGAACTTTTCCTTTAAATCTCCATTACAAAGTTTCCCCACACATCCAGGGCATGAATTAGGCTGGAAAACAGATTTGGCCCCTTTTTTTGTCCCGTTGCAGCCATATTAACTGGGTTATCATGCTGAGAGATGATTCTGATGTTCCCAAGCATTATAAAGCTCTTATCCTGCTCCTCCATTCAAAGACGGGCCCGCTCCTCACGTGGCACACACAGAGGTAATTAGTCTGGGTGACTAAGGAAGATGCTGTGTTTGATGTCACAGGGAGAGGCCTGATAAGAGGAGAACGGGCTTCGGCATCGATAGTCTTCTGTTGCGGGGCTGCACGGTGAGAAATACTGATGATGCAGCTGGAATAGTGGTGTACGCAGGTACATTTCATCACCACATTAAGCATTACACTTCACAGTACTGTGTGCTCACATGGGATACACTAAAATACACTACATTTACATTTGCATTTAATCATTTAGCAGATGCTTTTATCCAAAGCGACTTACAAATGAGGACAATAAAAGCAATCAAAACCAACAAAATAGCAATAATATGGAAGTGCTGTGACAAGTCTCGGGTTAGCCTAGCGCAGTTCACGTAGCAAGTACACATTATTTTTTAAACAAATAAAAAGGAGATAAAATAGATATAGTGCTAGTTTTAGAGAGTCAAGTTATTATTATTATTTATATTATTATAATAATTAAAAAGAAAACAAGGAGATAGAATAAAAATAGAAAAGAGAGTGCTAGTGTTAGAGGGTCAAGTTTTTTAACAAATAACAAGAAAACAAAAGTAGATAGAATATAAATAGAATAGAAAGTTCTAGTGTTAGAGGGTGAAGTTTTTTAACAAATAACAAGAAAACAAAAGTAGATAGAATATAAATAGAATAGAAAGTTCTAGTGTTAGAGGGTGAAGTTTTTTAACAAATAACAAGAAAACAAAAGTAGATAGAATATAAATAGAATAGAAAGTTCTAGTGTTAGAGGGTGAAGTTTTTTAACAAATAACAAGAAAACAAAAGTAGATAGAATAGAAATAGAAAAGAGAGTGCTATTATTAGAGCATCAAGTTTTTAACAAATAACAAGAAAACAAAAATAGATAGAATAGAAATAGAAAAGAGAGTGCTATTGTTAGAGCATCAAGTGTTTTAACAAATAACAAGAAAACAAAAGTAGATAGAATAGAAATAGAATAGAGAGTTCTAGTGTTACAGCGTCAAGTGTTTTAACAAATAACAAGAAAACAAAAGTAGATAGAATAGAAATAGAATAGAGAGTTCTAGTGTTAGAGGGTCGAGTTTGTACCTTTTTTAACCCCGAAGGATGCATATTAATACCTTAAAGAGAAAGTTCACTCAAAAATGTAAATACTGTTATCAGCAAACTCTAAGAAGATAGCAAAGACATTTATAATTTTGCACAAGATTTCTAGTTCAAATAAATTCTGCTTTGAACCTTCTATTTATCAAAGAATCCTGAAAAAACGTATCACAGTTTCCACAAAAATATTAATATTATAATGATTTCTGAAGAATCGTGTGACACTGAAAACTGGAGTAATGATGCTGAAAATTCAGCTTTACGTCACAGGAATAAATTATATTTTAAAGTATATTAAAACAGAAAGCAGCTACTTTAAACTGTAATAATTTTTCACAATATTGCTGCTTTTACTGTATTTTAGATCAGAAAGTTAACAGATGTTTAATCAATCGATCAATGCATGCAGCCTTGGTTGTCTTTCGAAAACATCAAAAAAACTTTATATTTATTGTTTTACTTACTAAATTACTTTCTCGTTTTTTTCTTTAGTTTTCCCATATCTCATCTGCAAACTGTTTTGTTTTTATAAGTCATAATGCACATTTTCATTCATCATCCCTGATTCTCATTTGTAACAATAAAGCCTAATATACTGTGACTGTAACGTCTAATAGCGCAATAAGCCCATGCTATACTGCTAAACTCTGTTTCTTAAGTCTTTAACATCCCATTTACACCGGCAGCGACGCAACAAACTAGAACGCTCTCCTATTATAATCAATGAAGCTGTCTGTAACGCGAACATATAATAGGCGCATTATATTGCACACAGATGGCAGCTGAAGTTTTCTGTAGCCCACTGTTTCTCTTCTGATAAATTATACACATGGCATGGCTTATAAATGGCCGTTGCTATTTTACAAATGTTCTTGTTTTAACACCATGATTTATTCATTGCAGGACACGAAACCAAATCCATGTTAAACAACAGTGGGCCCAGGTACAAACGCAGCAAGATCGAGAGGAAGATGAATACGGATGTGCTCTTCTGCGTGGTTCTTCTATTTTTCATGTGTCTCATCGGAGCCCTGGGTACAGTACAGGGAACAAGCCTCTCGATAATTCAAGACGCACTACACGCTGAGCACAAAGTACATTACTTTAACATACAAGCTACAAAATGATGCTTGGATTCTGAACTGGGTCTGTGTCTGTCCTTGAGATAAAGAATAAAGTGTTGTTACGACCTCACGCAATCCTCACTCTCTTTTCCTTCTGTAAGGCGTGAGCCTAAGAAGGACACTACAGACATCCAGAATAGCTCACTCACACGCCAGTGTCTCATGAAAGCAATGATTAAGCTCTCTCTCTCTTTCTCTATGGTTCAAGCTCAGTGATGCTTCATTGGAATATCTGCATTGAAATACAGTACTGTCAAAAGCAATGTCATTAATGAATGTAAATGTCTCTTTCTCACAGGCCATGCGATCTGGTTGGAAACGTTTACCAGCAAGCCCTCATACATCGTCCCTGAAAGTAATGGCAATTATACTCCTTCAGTCCTAGCAGGATTTTACATGTTCTTCACCATGATCATCTTACTACAGGTACACAATCAGTCACTCACACGGCATATGTGACCCTGCAGCACAAAAGCAGTGTTGAGTCGCTGGGGTATATTTGTAGCAACAGCCAAAAAAACATTGTATGAGTGAAAATTATAGATTTTTCTTTTATGCCAAAAATCATTAGGACATTAAGTAAAGATCATGTTACATGAAGATATTTTGTAAATTTCTTACCGTAAATAACTCAAAACTTAATGTTTGATTAGTAATATGCATTGCTAAGAACTTCATTTGGACAACTTTAAAGATGATTTTCTCAATATTTAGATTTTTTTGCACCCTCAGATTCCAGATTTTCAAATAGTTGTATCTCAGCCAAATATTGTCCTATCCTAACAAACCATACATCAATGTAAAGCTTATTTATTCAGTAAGTTGTATAATGTATAAATGTATAAATCTCAATTTTAAAAAAATTGACCCTTCTGACTGGTTTTGTGGTCCAGGGTCACATATGTTAAGTACGTTTAAGTGACAGTAATGGCTGTGTTTCATCAAAACTAACTAGTTTTAAACTTAATTTCTTCACCCCCATTTAGCCTAAAGGGATAGCTCAGCCAAAAATGAAAATGTTGTCATCATTTACTAACCCTCAAGTTGTTGAACAAAAGAAGATATTTTAAAGAATGTAGGTAATAAAAACAGTTACTGGTAGCCATTGACTTCCATAGCACTTTTTTTCCGTACTGTGGAAGTCAATGGGTACCAGCAGCTGTTTGGTTACTAACCATATCTTCTTCTGTGTTCAGCAGAAGAATGAAATTCATACAGGTTTGTAACAATTGAGGGTGAGTAAATGATGATAACTTTTACATTTTTGGGTGAACTATCTCTTTAAAATGTTGATTTTGGACTGTTGCACTTCAGAGACCTTGAGCATTGTTACTGTATCAAACGACAAAATTCATATAACAATATCAGAATTGTGATATTCAGGTTGCTGTAGTAAAACTTCAGTTTTTTTTATCAAATGTAAAGCATCTATTTATGTTTATTTATTTATATAAAACGTCCCATGTTTTTGCAGAAGACCATGCTAGCACATGGTTTTTGCTCATTACAAAAAAAAAATAAATAAAAAATAAATTTCTTAAACATTTCACACCTTGGTAACATTGGACCATTTCTGCTGCATTGCGTTTTTTTCAATTTTCAAACAAATTGTATATAGTGACGCTCAAATTACTATAAAACACAATGATCAGACTAATTTTTTTCTTTAATTTATGGAAATGTAGGATGATCAGTTACTACAAACCAATATTTTGGTCCTAAACTAGCTGGCCCTGACTAAGTAACATCTTAATTTATCTAAGTTTGCAACACTGACGTATTTATTTATTTACATTTATGATTTTAAACTGTATCTAGATGTCCAAAATTTTAAAATTTAAATATGAAATAAATCTAAAATAAAATTGCTTATAATATTTAGTTTCACCTTCTGAGGTGAAATAATATTCTAATATTTAGTTTCACCTTTCCTGAAGGTTAAGCACCTCTTTTCACCCGTTTGTTGATAACAAAAAAATCCTTAGTTAAAAGCCCCTTAACTGACACCGTCCCACCTGTGGGATGCTTGGCGCTCTTTTTTGTTGTTGTCCTTTTTCTCTATCAAATCTTTTTGTAATCATCATGAAGTATATATCATTTGAAAGCTTAGAAGCCCAAGATAGACTATTTAGAAATCAGACATTGCGTTACCATAGAAATTATACTTTAAAATCTTTTGGCAGTCTCCTCCCCCTTAGCGGGCGGTGTCAAGTGTCATATTACAAAATGCATTATGGTCTTTTAGAATCAAACCTTTTTATAATCTTGACAAAAAACATATCATTGGAAATGTCTGAGTCTCAGGATTCCATATTTGCTGGTTAATTTGAGATCGAAGTAATATTGACAGAGAAATCTAGACATATGTGACAGAAAAATGCGTTACAAATGTTTTATGGAGTTTGGATGGCACCCGGTGGCTGTTTGTGGTATGATGCCCTAAATAAACTCTCACAGGAATCTCAATTTTTTTCATATCAACTTCAAATTTGGAACATAACTTGTTTAGACATAAGGCTTTAATTTTATACCAATTTTAGAGTAAAACCTGTTATGTAAAATATTTATAATAAATAAAATAAAATAAAATTAATATAGTGCATTTTATTTACAGTACATTTCAGTACATTACTTTCATTTTTTTTTATCCATTTTTTAAAATACTTTTGCAATAATCTACTGACTTTCTTCTTTAAAAAGAGACCAACCTTAGGTCTGTATTCCAAAGTCTTAATAAATTACAACAATTTAAGTTTGGATAGTGCACTTTCATGCCTAGCTTTATATTGCACCATGTTCATTGAAAGAGCCAGAGGCTGAGATTGCAGATGTTTATCTGGCTCCTAACACTAATTTTTCCAGGACTTTCTCTCCAGGTGATGATCCCTGTTTCACTGTACGTGTCCATTGAGCTGGTGAAGATGTGGCAGATCTTCTTCATCACTCAGGATGTGGAACTGTATGACGAGGAGCTGGACAGTCGGGTCCAGTGTCGTGCTTTGAACATCACGGAGGACTTGGGACAGATCCAATACGTCTTCTCGGATAAGACAGGGACGCTCACAGAAAACAAGATGGTGTTCAGGCGCTGCTCCATCATAGGGACTGAATACTGTCATGAGGAGAACGGTGTGGTTGGAGAGTTTGTCTCTGTGCTGATTACTATAATATAAGCTTTTAAATAGGGCTGCCCTCAACTAAAGATTTTTCTGGTCGACTAGTAGTCGTTCATTTTAAGTATTAGTCGACTAATCGTACGTTTATTAATAAACCATTTAAATCATGCTAATGAGACTTTAATTGCCTACATAGCCTAATAAGCGCTCAAGCACACGCATAAAGCTTGCCACAGCTCACAGGCAGAAGTAATGATGAAGAATGTGTCAGGGAAAAACAGTATGATTAAACTGCATTAACATTTTAATAATCTATTGATAAACTGGTGTTTTCGGTTTAAGAGATTAATTTGGCGACACTGACTCGTCATGTCCACAGTGGATGCACCTGCATGCAAGTTTCATACAGATTACATAATCTGAGAATATATATCTATATATATATATATATTCAGATTTGAATAGTTTCATTTGAAAGTAGACATTTCCCTCTCTATAGATATATTTTTCATGTCTGTAAGGCAAGTATACACGGAGTTTCGTGCTCAAGTTCACAGAGACCGAGACGGCAGAAAGCCCATCCTGTTTGCCTTCATTATTTTACAAAAGCGCAACGTTTTGTTGTTATAGTGAGTGCACACAAATAAACGTTGAGGCTTTACAGATTCTAAAGATGTATTTCTCTTATCTGTAAGACCAAAGTGACGGAGTATTTTAAGAGCAAGTGAGCGCATCCATCTGTCACACTGTGAGCGCGCTACTGTTCAGATACTTGAATAGCACACATTTTTCTAGGTTAACATTAGATTGAGTGGCCATGCTAATACTTACATATTTCAGATGATAAGCCATATTTGATGTCGATGAATGATAGGCGAGCGTTTGGATATACTGTATTACCACAAAATCCAGCCGTTAATAACATTTTGGTCGATCAAGCCTCTTCTTAACTAAAGGTTAGTCGACTATTAGGGGGCAGCCCTACTTTTAAATATTTTTAATTTGTTCCACAATATTTATCTCTTCTATTTTGTTTTATTACAATTTTGCTTTTATAAAGCAAAAATGTAACAATTTTTGAAAATTTTTATTTAAATGTTTTTTTTAATTAAAATGTTACATTTTAAAAAAGTTTTTCAAATGTATTATTTTTTTATTCCTTTATTTAGTTTTTTACTTTTTTTGTTAAATGTTTACTTTAATTTGCTGTAAATTGGTATAATTAGTTTAAGCATTAATAAGGGTGGCTGTTATTTTTGGCGCTCCTCAGCTGCTCGTTTGGCGGTCCTCAGTGGAGCAAATGAAGAGGAGGAGGTCACTATCTACCAACAGACAAAGCTTCCTCCGCTCTTCCCTCTGGAAGAATTACAGGACGTCCACGCAGGAGACAAAAATCACGCCAACACTCAAGTCACAGCTGCCAATCGGCGCAGATCAAAAGTGGAAGCAGGAGCCCAAAGTGACATGGCCTTCAGCAGTCCTCTGGTGAGAACATAGATCAAAGTGTTTTCGGGGTGAAGGTTGGGAATCCAGGATGATTTGTTTTAAAAGAAATGTCTCTTTCAGGCTTATTGTAAGTATGTGACTCTACCTACATTTTTGCAAACTCCAAAAGCATACCTATACATACAATGCAGTATCCAGCTGAAATGAACACTAAACAGTAAAACAGCTTTAATTTCTGTTCACACAAATTATGATTACAGGGCCGATTATCGATTAATAAAGACTTATTTTTACACAGTTCCTTGCACAATAGTGTTATGCCCTCAGCACTTTTACCATAGTGCATGATTTGTAAACAAATACATTTTGATGTTTGCAGAACATACTGTAACCAGTGTATACATGACTTTTCTAATTTAGTAAACTTGCTCAGTAGCACACCTGGTACAGTGGACATTTAATGCAATGCTTGAATACGTGCATTAACCAATATAATAAAATACGGCCACAGTCATGTTTAAAGGGATAGTTCACCCAAAAATGAAAGTTTTTCAAGTTTTTCTCTCTTCTGTTTAATACAAAAGAAGATATTTTGAAGATTGTGGGTCACCAAACAGTTGACGGTAGCCATTGACTTCCATAATATTTTTGTTTCCATACTATGGAAGTCAACGTCTACCGCCAGCTGTTTGGTGACCAACATACTTCAAAATATCTTCTTTTGTGTTTAACAGAATAAAAAAGGTACAAGTTTGGAAAAACATGAAAAACTTTCATTTTTGGGTGAACTTTTCGTTTAAGTCTTTTTTTTATTTTTTATTATTAAAACAAGAAAACATATCTGCCAATGGGGTAAGAAAAATACCCTTTGTTTTCCCTTTGAATTAAGTTTATTTTTCTTACCCCATTAGCCGATATTTGTTCTTGTTTTAAGCAGAAACTAACAAAATTTATAAATTTTTCAGATAATATCTTGATTTAAGAATGTTTAGATATTTGTAACGGAAAATAAGAAAATAATTCAGCAGATAAGAGAGAAGCTCTCAGATGCCCAACCAATAAAATAATCAATTATTGCAAATGACAGCATATTAAATAATTTGAATAAAGCCGAAATGTGTCATTGATTTCTGACCCATTCTCCTGCATTCTCACGGTCTGCCCCGCAGATGGCCGAGCAGTTTGGTGTCAGTTATGAGCACAGCGATGCTGGCTCTGATCTGCTGGGTTTCGATCTGTTGACATATGGGGCCGCCGGGGTGCATTAAACATGGGCTACTGATACTGTACAGATCGCCTCGCGTCCCACTGCCTCTTCCCATGAAGTCGCGCTTTTTGTTGTCGTACGATGTCGTGTCATTTTCCGTCTATGGAAACAGACTGCATGGTCTTGTTGTGCATGATGTAATCGCAGCCGTATTTCCTCAAACAGGAAACAGTGGTGGTTCCAGACAGGAAGCTGATGCTGGAGGTGGACCGTCAGATGGCGAGCATCCAGACCGGGCCCTACCTGGACTTTTTTCTGGCTTTGGCCATCTGCAACACAGTGCTGGTTTCCTCAGTGACGGCCCAAAGACAGAGGGTGAGAGCGAACGCTGACCTTGCTGGAGCCGAGAGGGTTGGGGACGTGCTCAGCGCTCTGATACACAGCACAAAAACTGTCTAAACATTAACAATAATAGCCCGCCATGTAAGCTACGCCTCTTGCACACTGAGTACCTGTGGCCGCAGTCTCGTTGCCCTGAGATATTTTATTGCTGCCCCTGCATGACTAATTCTTCTTTGGCTAGTGCTTCGTTTTATAATTACTGCATTTTAATTCTCAAGCAAGCACTTACTTGGTGCAGGCAATTAGATTTTTCATCAGTCACATGTCAGTCAACCACACATCCGTAATGAGTCGAGTCTGAGAGAGAAGTTTAGCGTAGCTGAGGATCCTTCACTGCTGGTCAGCGCTAATTTCCCAAATTGCACTTGAGGACCCCGAGCGAAGCACTTTGTCCAGGGTAGGAATTATATTTGGCCTCAGACCTGTAGCACTGAGACGTTCAAAGACATCGGGTCAACATTAATTAAGCTGATTACCAATGGAGCATGATTGTATCACCCTGGGTCCATCACAACTTAAGAGGCAGTCACAATGTATGCGGATTCACAGCACCTGAAGAACTCCATTATTAGTGTCTTTTAAAGCGTTATGAAGGAACATGGGCTCTGTTTCAATATTTGCAGGATTTCAGGTTTATCATAATTAACCGAGCACACAGTTATAAAAGAAAATCTGATTTAAATGATTCATTTCAGAATTGGGTTTTTACCAATTATACATAGTAAAAAACAAACAAACAAAAAAAAAATATATATATATATAATGCTTTTAAATACAACATCTACCTTTATCTCTACAGAGAGTAGACTATTTGTGATATTACAAATAACCAATATGTACACTACCGTTCAAAAGTTTGGGGTCAGACTCAGAACGATTTTTGCTCGCCAAGATTGTGTATTTGATTAAAATTACAGTAAAAACAGAAATATTGTGAAATATTCTAATTTAAAGTAACATTTGCATTTTTCATAAATTTAATTACATTTTCAGCATCATTCCTCCAGTCTTCAGTGTCACATGATCTTCAGAAATCATTCTGATATGCTGATTTTGCTGCTCAAGAAACGTTTATTCTTCTTCATATTTATCAGTTATTATCATGATACATTTTTAAGGATAATTGATGAATATGAAGTTCAAAAGAACAGCATTTATTTGAAATAGAAGTGTTCTGTAAAATTATAAATGTCTTTACTGTCAGTTTGATCGATTTGATGCATCCGTGCTGAATAAAATAATATATATATTTTTTTTAATTGCATGTGAATTTCACATGCAATGTTAAGAAAGACTTAGGCTGTGTTCAAAAAGCATGCATACTATTTCTGTAGCATGCATACTGAGCACAAAATGGAAATTGCCAGTTTGCACAGAATGCCTACTGTATTTGTCAAATAGTGTAGAGAAGAGTGTACACAACAGATCCCATTGTGCTGGATACATTATCCTACAATGCAATGCACTTGTGAAGTAATGTTTTTTTTTACTTCGTTCTTGATTCATCATTTGAACAGACTGTCAAAATTAAGACTTTATTAAACAGACTTGATAATTCATTTTGGACATAAGTGAACTCTACGAGCTAAATTGGCATGCAAGGTTTCAAATGCCTTTAAAAAAAATGCAATAGTGCAGTAATGAAGCAGTAATACTGGTGTAATAATGCAGTATTCTATCATTCTGTACAGCATCTGTCAAGCAATGAATTCTTGCACTTTTCCAGGTCAAAGGGCGCCGTAACTCCTCATACTCAGGAGGTTCATTTCATAACATGCAGCAGTGGTTCAGAAAGTGTGCTCTGGGAAAAGTTTTCACCTCCATGAAGTTCTTCAAGAGAGGCGGGGAGACACTCGCAGATCCTTTCTCCACGGATGAAGACGAGTCCGACGGGTTTCACAGCTCCGATGTCTCAGACGCCACGGGGCAGAAGGGGATTTCGAGTGAACGCAAGGTTAAAAGCAGTCCGTCTGGGTCAGAGGAGGTGTGTTACGAGGCCCACAGCCCAGATGAGGCCGCTCTCATACACGCTGCAAAGGCTTATGGGTTCAGCATGGTGGAGCGCACTCCTCATTATGTGACTGTCAAGCTGCCCAATGAAGCGCTGCTGAAGTTTGAGGTGTTGGACATCCTGACCTTCGACTCCACGAGGAGGAGGATGTCCATCATAGTGCGACATCCACACACTAAAGAAATCACCATGTACACGAAAGGAGCTGATTCAGCCGTCATGGAGAGACTGGGGAATGTGTTTTCAGGTGAGCATGAAGGATCAAAAACATGAAGCAGCGTACACCATTCAAAGCTTTGGGCTCAGTATTTAAATACAACATCTACCTTTATCTCTACAGAGAGTAGACTATTTGTGATATTACAAATAACCAATATGTACACTACCGTTCAAAAGTTTGAGGTCAAAATGATTTTTGCTCGCCAAGATTGTGTATTTGATTAAAATTACAGTAAAAACAGAAATATTGTGAAATATTCTAATTTAAAGTAACATTTGCATTTTTAATAAATGTAATTACATTTTCAGCATCATTCCTCCAGTCTTCAGTGTCACATGATCTTCAGAAATCATTCTGATATGCTGATTTTGCTGCTCAAGAAACGTTTATTCTTCTTCATATTTATCAGTTATTATCATGATACATTTTTAAGGATAATTGATGAATATGAAGTTCAAAAGAACAGCATTTATTTGAAATAGAAGTGTTCTGTAAAATTATAAATGTCTTTACTGTCAGTTTGATCGATTTGATGCATCCGTGCTGAATAAAATAATATATATATTTTTTTTAATTGCATGTGAATTTCACATGCAATGTTAAGAAAGACTTAGGCTGTGTTCAAAAAGCATGCATACTATTTCTGTAGCATGCATACTGAGCACAAAATGGAAATTGCCAGTTTGCACAGAATGCCTACTGTATTTGTCAAATAGTGTAGAGAAGAGTGTACACAACAGATCCCATTGTGCTGGATACATTATCCTACAATGCAATGCACTTGTGAAGTAATGTTTTTTTTTACTTCGTTCTTGATTCATCATTTGAACAGACTGTCAAAATTAAGACTTTATTAAACAGACTTGATAATTCATTTTGGACATAAGTGAACTCTACGAGCTAAATTGGCATGCAAGGTTTCAAATGCCTTTAAAAAAAATGCAATAGTGCAGTAATGAAGCAGTAATACTGGTGTAATAATGCAGTATTCTATCATTCTGTACAGCATCTGTCAAGCAATGAATTCTTGCACTTTTCCAGGTCAAAGGGCGCCGTAACTCCTCATACTCAGGAGGTTCATTTCATAACATGCAGCAGTGGTTCAGAAAGTGTGCTCTGGGAAAAGTTTTCACCTCCATGAAGTTCTTCAAGAGAGGCGGGGAGACACTCGCAGATCCTTTCTCCACGGATGAAAACGAGTCCGACGGGTTTCACAGCTCCGATGTCTCAGACGCCACGGGGCAGAAGGGGATTTCGAGTGAACGCAAGGTTAAAAGCAGTCCGTCTGGGTCAGAGGAGGTGTGTTACGAGGCCCACAGCCCAGATGAGGCCGCTCTCATACACGCTGCAAAGGCTTATGGGTTCAGCATGGTGGAGCGCACTCCTCATTATGTGACTGTCAAGCTGCCCAATGAAGCGCTGCTGAAGTTTGAGGTGTTGGACATCCTGACCTTCGACTCCACGAGGAGGAGGATGTCCATCATAGTGCGACATCCACACACTAAAGAAATCACCATGTACACGAAAGGAGCTGATTCAGCCGTCATGGAGAGACTGGGGAATGTGTTTTCAGGTGAGCATGAAGGATCAAAAACATGAAGCAGCGTACACCATTCAAAGCTTTGGGCTCAGTAAGGCTGCGTTTATTTGATCAAAAATACAGTAATATTGTGAAATATTATTAAAATGGAAAACAGCTGTTTTCTATGTGAATATCTGTTAAAATGTAATTTATGTCTGTGATCAAAGCTGTATTTTCAGCATCATTACTCCAGTCTTCAGTGTCACATGATCTTCAGAAATCAGTATAATATGCTGATTTGCTGCTCAAGAAACATTTCTGATTATTATCAATGTTGAAAACAGTTGTGATTATTTATTCAGCTTTCAGATGATGCATACAACTCAATTATGACTGGTTTTGTGGTCCAGGGTCACATATAGTCACTGTGGCAGATTTGAATGTGTGTGTGTCATTTGTTTTTCACAGATATGACACAAGTGGATAGTGAGGAGAAGCAAATTGCTGTAAAAACCCAAAAAGACCTTGACATGTATGCCAGGAATGGATTACGGACGCTGTGCTTTGCCAAAAAGGTAGATGTTCTGTAGAGATCGTTGTAGTAAGACTAAATGTGTTGAGCAGTGGTGCTGATGGAAAGCTGTGTGTTTTTCTCTGAAGGTCATCAGTGAGCAGGAGTTCAGGGCCTGGTCTGCTGTCAGACAGGAGGCGCTGTCAGCCATGGATGAGAAAGAGGAGCGTCTCATGGAAACCGCAAACTTCATCGAAAGCAACTTCACTTTGCTGGGTACAGTCTGCGCTCCCTTCATGTGCCACTGATGATTGTCACTCTTAAAAATAAAGCCTCCAAAAGGGGGATTTGTTTGCAGCAGGGCCACAGAAGAACTATTTGGGGTTTCCCAGAAACCCTTTCAGTGAACACTTCATACAAGAACCATTTCTTAGTGTGAAGAGGATGTTAATTAAAAAAATTAAATAAACAAGGTTCTTTACTTTTTCCACTGTAAAGAACCTATGGAAGCTTGTTTTTTTCTTGCTATTGTGAGTTAATATCGTGCAGTTCTGACTTTTTTCTCTGAATTCTGAGTTTACATCAAATCTGGGTTTTTTTCTGCCAAGGAATAAAAAATTGTGAGTTTTTATCTCACAATTTTGAACTTTTTTCCCCCTGAATTTTGAGGTTTTTTTTTTTTTTTTTTTTCTGAACTAAGTTCATTGTGACTTTTCATCTCACAATTCTGACTTCTGAGTTTACATCTCACAGGTTTGATGTTTTGTCTTTGTTTGTTTTTTTGCTCTGAATTCTGAGTTTACATCTCACAATTCAGTTTTATTGTTTCTGCCATGGTTTAAAGGGATCCTATTATGCTTTTTCACTTTTTAAACTTTAGTTAGCCCAAAGTTCACTTCAAAAGGAGCTATTTTATTTAACAGAAATCACTTTTCAAAAACTACAACGAACGACTTGTTTGGACTACAACGCATATTTTCCGGGATTTGTGATATCGCAAATATCAACGAATGGGACGAGACCTGGTTGAGCTGCACTAGAGAAGGCAACGGGTGTTATCACTGTGTCAGAGACACGCTAGCTTTCCCAAGGCAAGACGAACTTAGAGCGGTTACAATCATCCAGGTTTAAATCACGCTCAAATTGATTTGATATTGACGCAATATTTACACTGAAGCTCACAGGCGGCTATGATAAGGGGCATGACATTTCCCGACCAGGCGCCGAGTGGTGCCAATCACAGCACACACTGACCCAGCTAACCAATCACAACACACACTGGCCCAGCTGACCGTTCACAACACACACTGGCCCAGCGAACCAATCACAACACACACCGGCCCAGCTGACCAATCACAGCACACACTGGCCCCGCTGACCAATCACAGCACACACTGGCCCCGCTGACCAATCACAGCACACACTGGCCCCGCTGACCAATCACAGCACACACTGGCCCCGCTGACCAATCACAGCACACACTGGCCCCGCTGACCAATCACAGCACACACTGGCCCCGCTGACCAATCACAGCACACACTGGCCCCGCTGACCAATCACAGCACACACTGGCCCCGCTGACCAATCACAGCACACACTGGCCCCGCTGACCAATCACAGCACACACTGGCCCCGCTGACCAATCACAGCACACACTGGCCCCGCTGACCAATCACAGCACACACTGGCCCCGCTGACCAATCACAGCACACACTGGCCCCGCTGACCAATCACAGCACACACTGGCCCCGCTGACCAATCACAGCACACACTGGCCCCGCTGACCAATCACAGCACACACTGGCCCCGCTGACCAATCACAGCACACACTGGCCCAGCGGACCAATCACAACACATTTCGTATTTCAGAAGGCGGGCCTTCATTTGGCCTCAAAAGTTCACCCAAGTTTGTATTTCACAACTTCCACAATTGCAAATTAATTCCTCACAATTCTGCGACTTTATTCTCAGAATTGTGATAAAAGTAAAGAATCTTCATTTTTAAAGGGGACATCGGATGCCCACTTTACACAAGTTGTTATGAGTATTTAGGGTCTTCATGAAATGTCTGTAACATACTTTGGTTAAAATTCCTCAATGGTTGTGTAAAACAACACCCTTTTTACCTTGTCAAAAACAGCTCTGTACACAGCAACCTGATTCAGTGCATGTCTCTTTAAATGCTAATGAGCTCTGCTGACCCCGCCCCCCTATTCCATAGAATGAGGCATTGTTGTCACTACAGCTGCTCGAGCGCCAAGAAAATTGCAGACAGGGTACAACTGGCTGAGGGCGGAGATATGCAAGTACGGGACAGTCCATCAGTGGTCGTGGGCGGGGCCTGCACAGTATGATGTCATAGTGCTCAGAAAATCAAAACGGCTTGATTATTGAGCCTGGTTAGGTTTTTGGGGGGTTAAAAATATAATTGTAGGGTTGTTGTGTTCACACACTGCTAAAACACATTTATACGCAAACACCATGTAAAAGTGAATTTAGCATCCGATGTCCCCTTTAAGAGTGTAATCATAAGACATCATTCAAAGTCACAGTTTCGGGATGTGAAATGTAAATTGACCTTCTGGAGTCTTCCATAGGGGCCACCGGCATTGAGGACCGTCTCCAAGAAAGTGTCCCAGAAACCATCCAGGCTCTGAGACGAGCTGGCATGCAGATATGGGTGCTGACAGGGGACAAACCCGAGACGGCCATCAACATCGCATACTCCTGCAAGCTGCTCGAGCATGAGGACCTGGTGTTCACCTTCAGCACCAACAGGAAGGTACTTCAGTCTGCTAGTCAGTGCCAACTAACTAATGCTTCTGTAACTGAACAGAGTTTGACCTGTGTTAGTCAACCAGCTTCATCAGAAAAATTAGGTTGGTGAACAGCATCAAGTTTGCACAAAGGTGTTTTAGTGCCACGTAAAAAAATTTATAAATCTAATATTTTGAGAATAAAGTCAAAATTATGAGAAAAACATCACAGCAATATGAGATTAAATTCTTAATTATTATGAGAATAAAGTCGTAGCATTAAATACATGTGAAGAATGAAAAGTTGGACTCCACAGACGGTTTTTGTGGAGCAGGTGGAATTTTCACATTATTTAACTTTAGTGAAGCAATTTACTACTTTATTCTCAAAATATTACGACACTTAATCTCATATCGCTATGACTTTATTCTCATAATTTTGACTTTATTCTCAAAATATTACAAATTTAATCTCATAATGATATGACTTTATTCTCAAAATATTAAGAATTTAATCTCATAATGTTACGACTTTATTTTTAAAATATTACAAATTGAATCTCATATTGCTCATAATTTTCTCGTTATTTTGACTTTATTCTCAAAATGTTATGAATTTAATCTAATATTGCTATGACTTTATTCTCAAAATATTACCAATTTAATCTCTTATTGCTATGACTTTATTCTCGTAATTTTGACTTTATTCTCAAAATATAAAACTTTTAATCTTGTAATCTTAGATTTTTTTTTTTTTTTATTTACATGGCATTAAAACATCGGCGTACATTAGCATTCTTAAATCGATATCTCAGTAAGAGCATGTTGAATATTTGTCATGTGTTGCGTGCGCATCTTGTTTGGGATTTAAAACACTGAACCCGCACAAAAGGAAAAGGGTTAATTGGTTTATCTGGGACGACAGAGGCTTCAATGTTACACAGTTTCATCCCCTCAAGAGTGAAGTTCTCCATAGCGTGTTCAAACACACAAACGCGCTTGCAACAATTTGTCAGATATGCTGTTTTTCATTTCATGTCTGCCTGAGTCTGTGTTTAAGAGCGCTGAGAAAAAGAGCATTCACCGTTCTGAATGGCTCGGATTGCTGCTCTGTAATCCCATTTTCACACTTCTGAGGAGGGCAGGAAACCGTTCTAGTTTCATTTCAACATTAAATCTCCTCCCGAAGACTTCCACATATTGTTTTACACACATTTTATGAAATGCCTCATTTTGTGCATCTAAAACCTTCACTTTCCGTTGTCCTAGTTTTTCATGTGGTACAAGATCATTTATCACCATCTTATATCTTAGTTTATTCCCTGAATCTGTGTGGAAATGAGAGAATCATAAGCCATTTATGTAACATAGTGAAATGGGCAACAACTGAAATTTCAGGAAACCGTTCTAGTTTCATTTCAACATTAAATCTCCTCCCGAAGACTTCCACATATTGTTTTACACACATTTTATGAAATGCCTCGTTTTGTGCATCTAAAACCTTCACTTTCCGTTGTCCTAGTTTTTCATGTGGTACAAGATCATTTATCACCATCTTATATCTTAGTTTATTCCCTGAATCTGTGTGGAAATGAGAGAATCATAAGCCATTTATGTAACATAGTGAAATGGGCAACAACTGAAATTTAATTTAGCCATAACCCAGATATATTCTCAAACCAGTCGAGTTAAAACATATAGCAGCAGTGCCAGACTGAAAAGTACGTGGATGTGACTTCACGACATGATGATTTCTCAACTCATGAATATTAATTAGATCATGATGTCATTGCAAGATAACATGTCCATTCACATAATCTCATTTAGGATCAGATACGAAACGCTTGATGTGACGAATGCTAGCGTGTGCCACAATGCTCTTGTGATAAAGAGGCAGCAGTTGATCTTCATCGCAACTGAAAGCATGATGGGAAATGACTTGCTGACATCACAGCTTAGATGGAAGCTCATTGGCTTAGAATGACTGTGATGTTTTTGTCTTGCGTCCATTCACATAATCTCATTTAGGATCAGATACGAAACGCTTGATGTGACGAATGCTAGCGTGTGCCACAATGCTCTTGTGATAAAGAGGCAGCAGTTGATCTTCATCGCAACTGAAAGCATGATGGGAAATTTTGACATCACAGCTTAGATGGAAGCTCATTGGCTTAGAACGACTGTGATGTTTTTGTCTTGTCTACAATGTTAGTCTGTTATCTCTAATATCATTTAGACTAAAAATGGACAGAGAAAGAATACATTAAATGATAGGTACCCTACTGTTTAAAAGTGTGGAGTCAATAAGATTTTTTATTAAAGAAATTAATACTTTTATTGAGAAAGGATGCATTAAATTGATTAAAAGTGCCAGTAAAGACATTTATAATGTTACAAAATATTTATGTTTCAAATAAATGCTATTCTTTTGAACCTTCTATTCATCTGTGATTCCTGAAAAATAAAATGCATCACCGTTTCCACAAAAATATGAAGCAGCACAATTGTTTTCAACATTGATAATAATCAGCAAATCAGCATATTATACTGATTTCTGAAGATCATGTGACACTGAAGACTGGAGTAATGATGCTGAAAATACAGCTGCGCATCACAGAAATAAATTACAGATTAACAGATATTCACACAGAAAACAGCTGTTTTAAATTCTAATAATATTTCACAATTTTCACTATATTTTTGATTATATAAATGCAGCTTTGATGAGTGTGAAACATAAAAAAATCTTACCACGCCCAAACTTTTGAACTAAATTGCCAGTTTATTACATTCATTATCATGTAAAAGCAGATGTGTTTTAAAAACATGCAACAAAAATAGTTTTTATATACTAACATGGTCTCTGTTATATTGCAGTCTGTGTGTAAAATGAGGCTGGAAGACACACTGGGAGAGCTGCGACGGAGCACGCTGGCACCCGGAGCGGACCATCAGTTCAGGGGTTATAACTCAGCATTTACTGGCCCACTGATGGAGCCCAGCATCGGGCTGGTGATAGACGGGCTGACTCTGAGCATGGCCATGTCAGACGAGCTGGTGGAGCAGTTTGTGGAGCTCTGCAAACACTGTCGTGCGGTGCTTTGCTGTCGAGTGACGCCGCTGCAGAAGAGCGCCGTGGTTAAACTCATACAGCAGAAACTGAGGGTCATGACCCTCGCCGTAGGTAATGAAACCTTCGATTTGAGGCGGAGGGCTTTCTGAAATCATTTATAAGATTACTTTTCCGCAGGTTCGTGAAGTGCATTGGTTTTCTGTCTCGATCCATTATGATTTGTGTCGATGCAGGTGACGGCGCCAATGATGTGAACATGATTCAAGCTGCAGACGTTGGTATTGGAGTTTCTGGACAGGAGGGGATGCAGGTTTGTGTTTTTGTGTTTTATAACTCACTCCCAGGTGAAGATAAAGCACTGCAATTATGTATCAATCCAAAAAAAACAAAAAAAACATGAACACTGACACAGAAGCTAGGATAGGTGTGGTATGTGTCATTATTACATTATTATTATGACTACTGTTATTACATCATCATAATTATTATTATGGATATTACTGTTGCCATCATCACAGGGTATTATTGCTATCATCACAATCTTTAGTATTAGTATTATTATTATTATGCATGCTAGTACTACTTAAATACTATACTACTATTATTCAGATTGTCATTGCTGTTTATTTTCATTGCTGTTCTACTGCTGTTTTTGTGTTTTGTGTTCACCGAATGTTGTATGTTTTGCACTCTTAATAAAAAAACATTTTTTTAATCAAGAAAACAATACTTTTTAAAGAGTTTTTTTTTCAGATTGACTAGTTCAGGAATGTTTTACGTCAGCATGAAAAGGAAATTGTGACTGTTTTTCTTACCTATTGTGACACAAATCTGAATGAAACAAGGAAAAATGTGGGGCGGGGCTTGATTTCGTCCAATCAAAAATTGGGGGAGGGGCATGTTATCCTATTTAAATCAAAGATTTCCAGGTCACTTTTTTTTATTTTTTTTTTTATAATGAATGATGTGCACAAATAAATCATATGAGATTAAAGTCGTAATATTTTGAGAATAAAGTCAAAATTATGAGAATAAAGTCGTAGCAATATGAGATTAATGTCTTAATAATTTGAGAATGAAGTCAAAATTACAAAAATAAAGCCGTAGCATTATGAGATTAAATGAGCATGAGCATTTTAATGATGAGCATTTTAAAATGTAATATAATCTAATTACAAGTACTTAATTTTTTGGAATCTGATTACATAATCCAGATTATATGTAATCAGTTACTACCCAGCACTGTCCCTAGCCTAACAGTCTAATACTGTAACGAGAGTCAGTCAACATGTATTTGCAAAGGTACTCATCGTTAGTAGAATGTCTGAAGTGGACTATGGAAACCATAAAGAATGAGTGTAACCAGTAATGCTGATTTCACGCTGAGTTGTGTTTGTGTTCTGCAGGCTGTCATGGCCAGTGATTTTGCCATCACGCGCTTCAAACACCTGCAAAGACTGCTGCTGGTTCACGGACACTGGTGCTACTCGAGACTGGCCAACATGGTCATCTATTTCTTCTACAAGAATGTGGTAATTTAATTGTTACATTCAATTTAAGTAATTAGTGGTGTCAAAGCAGCTTTACAGTGTTACCCAGCAAAATAATGTTTCAATGGTGCAAATTCTGCCGTAAACGTGTCAAAAATAAATTGTTGTAACCTACATTGCTGTTCAAAAGTTTGGAATTTTATTCATTATTTAAAGTAATCATACTTTAATAGAGAAAGGACACATTTAATTGTTATGCAAGTTGTTTCCGCCATTGAATAATGCAGTTGCGAGTTATAAAGTCAGAATTGGATGATATAACGTCGCAATTGTGAGAAAAAAAATCAGAATTGCGAGATATAAATTAATACATTTTATATCTTACAATTCTGACTTTATAACATGAAATTGTGAATTATAGTCTAAATTGGTCTTTATAACTTGCAATTGTGAATTGATATCTCACAATTCTGAGAAAAGAAGTCAGAACTGCAAGAAAAAAGTCTGAATTGTGAGATAAAAAGTCACAATTGCCTTTTTAAATTTCTTATTCAGTGGCAGAAACAGGCTTCCATGAATTGTCATTAAAGATTTATATTTCAAATAAATTCTTTTTTAAACTTTCTATTTATTATAGAATCCCGGGAGAGAAAAAAAGTATCAAGTATCGTAAAAAATATTGAGCAGCATAACTGTTTTCAGACTGGAGTAATGATGCTGAATCAACAAACTGCTTTGCCTTCACAGGAATACATTACTTTTTAAAATACATGCAAATAGAAGAGTTATATTAAATTGTAATGATATTTCACAATATTATTTGTGGTCAAATAAGTGCAGCCTTGGTGCACATTAGAGACTTCTGAATGGTTGTGCACAGTGACTGTAAAAAGTCGTTTATTTCATGAACCTATATTGTAGTAAATTGTTTTCTGTTCCATCAGTTATAACTCCCTTAAAACCCCTTCTGATGAAATCTGATGAATTAGCACCAGCACTCACTATCTAACCTGTGTCGTCTCACGCAGGCGTACGTGAATCTGCTGTTCTGGTATCAGTTCTTCTGTGGCTTCTCCGCCACAGCCATGATCGACTACTGGCTCATGATATTTTTCAACCTGTTCTTCACCTCTGCTCCTCCCATCATGTTTGGGATCATGGACAAAGAGGTGTCAGACTCCACGTTACTGAGCCTGCCTGAGCTCTACAAGCGAGGACAGCACTCGGAGGTGAGCGGTCCTGCTGTCACGGATGGCAGTCTATCATTGCTTTAGTACTATATCAACTCAATCTGGGATAACTACGATTTTTTTTTTCGTAATAAAAATAAATGAAGATAGTTAAAGAATCAGTTTCATTCAACTATGGCAGTTCTAATTAGTTTCTAAATGCATTCAAAACAAATACCATAGTTTGTTTTACAGAAACCATGGTTACAAGCATAGAAACCTGTAGTTTCTATAAATATCACAGTTAGACTATAGTTGCTATGCAAGACCTTTGGTCATTTTTAACTCATCTGGGATAACTACGAGTTTTATTTTTTTTTTTTGGTAACACTTTATTTCGATAGTCCACTTTAGACATTCTACTAACAGTAAGTAACTTTGCAACTACATATCAACTAGCAGTTAGTAGAGTATTAGTAGACTGTCTGCTTAATATCTTCTAACACTTTATTTTGATGCGTCCACAACATACAACATACTGACTATAAGAAACTTTGCAAGTATATTTTCAACTTATTCTACTAACCCTAACAGTCTACTCTGAGAGTTAGTAGACATGTAGCGGCAAATTAATGAGAGTTAGTTGACATGTAGTTGACATGTAGTTACAAAGTTACTAATAGTTAATAGAATGTCTAAAGTGGACTATCGAAATAAAGTGTAACCCCAGAATATTTTGTTGTATAAATGTGACCCTGGAACACAAAACCAGTCATAAGAGCCAATTTTTCGAAATTGAGATGTATGCATCATCTGAAAGCTGAATAAATAAGCTTGATAAATAAAAAACAAATACAAAATTGATGTATGGTTTGTTAGGATAGGACAATATTTGGTCGAGATGCAACTATTTGAAAATCTGGAATCTGAGGGTGCAAAAAAATCAAAAATCATCTTTAAAGTTGTCCAAATGAAGTTCTTAGCAATGCATATTACTAATCAAAAATTAAGTTTTGATATATTTACGGTAGGAAATTTACAAAATATCTTCAAGGAACATGGTCTTTATTTAATATCCTAGTGATTTTTGGCATAAAAGAGAAATGTATAATTGTGACCCATACAATGTATTGTTGGCTATTGCTACAAATATCCCCCAGCGACTTAACACTGCTTTTGTGCTCCAGGGTCACAAATATCTGAACATGCAATATGTCAAAAGTAGGAACAGAGCCTCTGCTTTGAAACAAAACAATTCTATTTATTCTAGCTTCATGCATTCTTTTTATATCAACACCTGAATGTGGGTAAATTTCATGAAAAATTTTAAAGTTGTCCAAATGAAGTTCTTAGCAATGCATATTACTAATCAAAAATTAAGTTTTGATATATTTACGGTAGGAAATTTACAAAATATCTTCAAGGAACATGATCTTTATTTAATATCCTAGTGATTTTTGGCATAAAAGAGAAATGTATAATTGTGACCCATACAATGTATTGTTGGCTATTGCTACAAATATCCCCCAGCGACTCAACACTGCTTTTGTGCTCCAGGCTCACAAATATCTGAACATGCAATATGTCAAAAGTAGGAACAGAGCCTCTGCTTTGAAACAAAACAATTATATTTATTCTAGCTTCATGCATTCTTTTTATATCAACACCTGAATGTGGGTAAATTTCATGAAAAAAGCAACATTTCGAACAAAAAGCTGAGAAAACCGTGTTTTTTGTCAAAGACTACATCTGGATCAGATTTAGAACGATGATCTAAACATAGATGGAGTCGATCGCTTCATCAACACTCTCAAAGCTTCACAGTCCTAAACCGCTTCCAGGGTCGACATTTCATTCGGTAACATTCGACAGTTTTTATTTATATGCTGTTTGCTGATTGCGTTATTTTACATATGCATCTGCTTACATACACGCTCACCTGTTTCTGCTTCTTCTTCACCGTGTTTTGACTCAGAGATTCTGTACTCTTTCAGAAGATGTGTACTAGCGCCTCCTACTGTATAACAGTGAAAACACGGAAAGTTGGATATTTCCGTCAATGGCAGGGAAAGAGTTAACAATGGGCCTATGGTTTTGCCTCACAGTTAACAAATAGCTGTGAATATGACATTGTTGAAATATTTTGCTTTTAACTGAATATCGTTTGATTACAGGGCTACAGGCGTTCGACATTTTGGATTGCGATTCTCGATGCTTTCTATCAGAGTCTAGTGTGCTTCTTTATTCCATACTGGGTGAGAACATCTGTGCAGTCTCTCGTCTGTTTCTGTCATGTGTTTCGGAGTAACCTGTCATCTGATCACTGCTTTTGCTTTCTCAAGACGTACAATGGTTCAGACATCGGCATATTCGCGTTCGGCACTCCCATGAACACAGTGTCTCTGTTCACCATCATCCTGCATCTGGCCATTGAGATCAAGAGCTGGGTGAGCTTACTCTCCGCTTCATCACTGCACAAGACAATCACAAAGACATCACTGTCTTTACTGATTAACATTTAAAATAGATTCTTAAAAAAGACAGTGCTCAGTTATATATATATATACTGTATATATATATATATATATATATATATATTCAGCAAGGATGCATTAAATTGATCAAAAGTGACAGTAAAGACATTTATAATGTTAAAACACTATTTCAAATAAATGCTGTTTTGAAAAATGTAGCACAAAAATATTAAGCATAAGATTGTTTCTTGAGCAGCAAATCAGAATATTATACTGATTTCTGAAGATCATGTGACACTGAAGACTGGAGTAATCATGCTGAAAATACAGCTTTGATCACAGGAATGAATTACATTTGAACAGATATTCACATAGAAAAGAGTAATTTAAATTGTAATAATATTGTTCGAATTTTTACTGTACATATGATCAAATAAATGCATGATGCTGAGACTTAAGAGACTTCTTTCAAAAACACTAACAATTTTACCGCCCCCAAACTTTTGAATGGTAGCAGGGTTATTATAGTTAAACTATTAAAAACATTCTGGCTAATCTGAAATAAATCTTAAAATAAAAACTTAAATGTTAGATGAAAAACTAAACCACAGCTACTAAATGAAATAAGTTAACACTGAAGCAATAAAATTACTATCTTGAAATAAATAAAAAACTAAAACCAAAATTGAAATAAAAATAATAAAAATGACAAAAGCGCACAACAAAATTACGAAAAATTTAGCCAATTCAAAATAGTAATAAAATGATAGTATATAAAGGATACTAAAATAACACCGAAGTAGTGTACAATGACAGTAAATGCATTTTCTTCTAGTGTTTAACGACAATCAAATCTAACCTGTTTCTTTCTTCCGACGTTACTTTGTGACCAATCTTTAGGCATTTTATGGCATAAAAGTGGATGTGTTAATATTTAAGTTATTATTTTTTGTCTCTTTAGAGGTTTTTAAGGTTACAGCATGTCTAAAATATTCTCCTTTATGTCAAAATATCAGTATTTTCCCTGAAACGCCCTCTTTTTTCTGACGTGCAGACAGCGGTGCATTGGGTGATCATGATCGGCAGTGTGCTGGTGTACTTCATCATGACTCTGGCCTACAGCGCCATCTGCATCAGCTGCAACCCTCCGTCTGACCCCTACTGGATCATGCACAAACAAATGGCCGACCCCATGTTCTACCTCGTCTGCATTTTAACAACAGTTGTTGCTTTACTACCAAGGTAACTGAAGTTAAGCGCTACCATTATGTGTAGCATCAGAGTTGGGCCAAAAATATCGGTTCACTCATTTGATGAACCGATATCAATTCTTAAAGGGACAGTTCACTCAAAAATGAAAAGTAAGCTATCATTTACTCACCCTTGTGTTGTTCTAATGCCGTTTTTTTTTTTAAATGTCCCGCGCACACTCGTCCATATAATGGCAGGAGATTTTTTTACTGAAAATATGCTTTTGTGGTCTGAAAAAAGAAAGATCAGCACATGACATTAGAACAACACAGGTGAGTAAATTATGACTTGATTTTCTTTTTTTTGGGGTGAACTATCCCTTTAAATCCCAAGAATCGTTCTCTGCTGTTTAGAGTTGATGCATGAACAAAACTTGATGAAACATTTATTTGTAGCGCGCATCCCATCCGATAATCACAGAGCCTCAGAAAAGCCATTCAGTGACTCGACAGTTAGCTATAAAAACAACATTTTGCTAAGTATATGCACTATATTACATATTCATTGTATTTTTACTTAACCTGTTCTTCAATATTTAATGTATGTTTGAATAACTAAGAAAAAATTTTATAAACTGTTTACTTTTGAATAACTAAGAAAATTGAACTACGTTCAAAACGTTTTTTACTGATCTGAAATAAATTAAAACAAATATTAGAGGAATGACTTAAATTAAACCAAAATTAGACATGTTATTAAAACAAATAATAACATCCACTATTTAAATGCTGGCATTTCAACAACAAACTGGAGTAGAAAGATAGTTATACAATTAAAGTTATTATAATAAATTTGTATTATGTGTGTGTGTATACACAACAGCACAGCGGGCCAGAATGTTATGTTCTGTACACAATTATCATGGAAACATTTGCAATGACAAGAACAAAAAATTGGTAGGAAAGGCATGGTGAAATTAAGAATTTCACAAATGAGTTTATAAAATATATATATAGTGTACAAATAAAAGAAGTTATGTGCAAAGTTATTTTCTTGCCAGAGAATGACTGGATTTAATGTAGTGAAATATACTGTATAAATGAAATTGTCGGGGATGAGCACCTCCTCCATGATGGACAACTGGCTCAAGCGGCCGCCACACATCTTCACGAACTCCATGAAGCCGCTGCAGGTGACCTCGCACTCGCCCCGGCCGATGGCCTTCAGGCTCTTGCAGCGCTCAGCGATCCGGATCAGCTCTTCGTCCAGCGGCTCCAGCCTGTTGGCGCACACCACCAGCTCCACTAGACACGGGCAGCACAGCATGTCTTTACTGACGGCCTGGCTGAAGTACAGGTGCGTGATGGGCGTCTGCTCACGGAAGAAGGGCTCGAACTCCTCCTCGTAAAGGAAGAAGTACATGACGATGTTGACCTGGGGCGAGTGGCGGATGAGGGCGTCCCAGCTGCTCTTCTTGATGGCGTGGAACTGCGTTTGGCCCGGGTTCTCGCTCACCACGTCGATGCGCAGGTGCTCCAGGTGGACGTGTTTCTCGGAGGAGAGCACCAGCAGAAGCTCGTCGCTCATCAGGTGGTAGTTCAGAACCAGTTCGCGCAGCCCGTGACACTGATCCGTCACACACAGGATTCCTGCATGAGCGAGAAGCAGCAGAAATTATGATATTGACAAAACAAATATTTGACCCTGGACCACAAAACCAGTCATAAGGGTACATTTTTTTGAAATTGAGATGTATACATCATATATAAATAATGAATAAATTATAAGAATAATAATATAAGAATAAATAAGCTTTCCATTGATGTGTGGTTTGTTAGGATAGGACAATATTAGATCGAGATACAACTATTTGAAAATCTGGAATCTGAGAAAATCGTCTTTAAAGTTGTCCAAATGAAGTTCTTAGCAATGCATATTACTAATCAAAAATTAAGTTTTGATATATTTACGGTAGGAAATTTACAAAATATCTTATGGAACATGATCTTTACTTAATATCCTAATGATTTTTGGCATAAAAGCAAAATCTATAATTTTGACTCCTACAATGTATTGTTGGCTATTGCTACAAATATACCCCAGCGACTTAACACCGCTTTTGTGCTGCAGGGACACATATATATAGATATTTTCTGGAAGTTTGTCGATAACGAAAATTAGCCAATATTGTGCTGAGTGTGTTACTGTGCCGTACAGCTGACTCCCAAAACTTTTGATATTCTTCATATTTATTCTGTGAGGTGGTTAGTTTGCAGCAGTAACAGAAATTCACTTTTCTCAGCGACTTAACACTGCTTTTGTGCTGCAGGGTCACATATATATAGATATTTTCTGGAAGTTTGTCGATAACGAAAATTAGCCAATATTGTGCTGAGTGTGTTACTGTGCCGTACAGCTGACTCCCAAAACTTTTGATTTTCTTCATATTTATTCTGTGAGGTGGTTAGTTTGCAGCAGTAACAGAAATTCACTTTTCTAATAAGTTTAAATTGATTTTTACCTTTTATGGGCCTTTTTACCTTTATAAGCCCAATTTTTTTCTAACCTAATTAAATGTATGCATCATCTTTTTTTGTCAAATTCTTAAATTTAATCAAATAGTAAGACATTACTGTTACCTATCAAATGAAATCAGTTTCAACAACCAAGGGTGTAGGTTTGATTTTGGCATTGATGGGGAATAACAATAGAAAACAGACATTTAATTGTTTGATCAAAATTACTGCTAGGGACAATTTAGTAGTCGCTGGATATTGGAAGGAACATGTCATAGCATCTCTACTAAACTCTACACTCTTGTCAACAACATTTTTCTTTGCAGTGCAACCAGCTCCACTAGACACGGGCAGCACAGCATGTCTTTACTGACGGCCTGGCTGAAGTACAGGTGCGTGATGGGCGTCTGCTCACGGAAGAAGGGCTCGAACTCCTCCTCGTAAAGGAAGAAGTACATGACGATGTTGACCTGGGGCGAGTGGCGGATGAGGGCGTCCCAGCTGCTCTTCTTGATGGCGTGGAACTCCGTTTGGCCCGGGTTCTCGCTCACCACGTCGATGCGCAGGTGCTCCAGGTGGACGTGTTTCTCGGAGGAGAGCACCAGCAGAAGCTCGTCGCTCATCAGGTGGTAGTTCAGAACCAGTTCGCGCAGCCCGTGACACTGATCCGTCACACACAGGATTCCTGCATGAGCGAGAAGCAGCAGAAATTATGATATTGACAAAACAAATATTTGACCCTGGACCACAAAACCAGTCATAAGGGTACATTTTTTTGAAATTGAGATGTATACATCATATATAAATAATGAATAAATTATAAGAATAATAATATAAGAATAAATAAGCTTTCCATTGATGTGTGGTTTGTTAGGATAGGACAATATTAGATCGAGATACAACTATTTGAAAATCTGGAATCTGAGAAAATCGTCTTTAAAGTTGTCCAAATGAAGTTCTTAGCAATGCATATTACTAATCAAAAATTAAGTTTTGATATATTTACGGTAGGAAATTTACAAAATATCTTATGGAACATGATCTTTACTTAATATCCTAATGATTTTTGGCATAAAAGCAAAATCTATAATTTTGACTCCTACAATGTATTGTTGGCTATTGCTACAAATATACCCCAGCGACTTAACACCGCTTTTGTGCTGCAGGGACACATATATATAGATATTTTCTGGAAGTTTGTCGATAACGAAAATTAGCCAATATTGTGCTGAGTGTGTTACTGTGCCGTACAGCTGACTCCCAAAACTTTTGATATTCTTCATATTTATTCTGTGAGGTGGTTAGTTTGCAGCAGTAACAGAAATTCACTTTTCTAATAAGTTTAAATTGATTTTTACCTTTTATGGGCATTTTTACCTTTATCAGCCCAATTTTTTTCTAACCTAATTAAATGTATGCATCATCTTTTTTTGTCAAATTCTTAAATTTAATCAAATAGTAAGACATTACTGTTACCTATCAAATGAAATCAGTTTCAACAACCAAGGGTGTAGGTTTGATTTTGGCATTGGTGGGGAATAACAATAGAAAACAGACATTTAATTGTTTGATCAAAATTACTGCTAGGGACAATTTAGTAGTCGCTGGATATTGGAAGGAACATGTCATAGCATCTCTACTAAACTCTACACTCTTGTCAACAACATTTTTCTTTGCAGTGCAGTAGGAGCAGGGTTATTATTATGATTTATTTACATGATATGAACTCCCAATTGCGAGTTATAAAGTCAAATTCTGGGGGAACAATCTTGCAGTCCTGACTTTATAACACAATTGCAACTTTATATCATGCAATTCTGACTTTATAACTTGTAATTGCAAATGTATATCTCGCAATTCTGAGAAAAAATATTAGAATTGCGAGTTTATTTCACACAATTCTGCGGAAAAATATTAGAATTGCGAGTTTATATCACACAATTCTGAGAAAATAATAATAGAATTTCGAGTTTATATCACACAACTCTGAGAAGAAATATTAGAATTGCAAGTTTGTCACACAATTCTGAGAAATATTAGAATTGCGAGTTTTTATCACACAATGTTCAGAAGAAATATTAGAATTATGAGTTTATATCACAATTCTGAGAAGAAATATTAGAATTGCGAGTTTTTATCACACAATTCTGAAAAAAAAAATTAGAATTGCGAGTTTATATCACACAATTCT